CATCTTGAGCTCTTCCCCACAAAACATTTGACAAAAAGAAAATTTTACCTAATTAGCCAGGACAAAGGGAGCTAGTAAGGAGCTAGAGAAGTCTGGCTTATATTTAAGCTGAGTTTACTTGCCACTGATAAGTGTGTCTTCGTGGAAGGGAAATGAAGATTTCAACTGATGATTAAGGTCAGAGGGAGAAGCTCCTGTCCTTTCTTCCATCAGGAGCATTTGTGCAGAAACCTTCCCTAGTCACAGTCGTTGAGTGACATAATGGAGGACATGACCGTGAATGGTGGGACAAAGATGACAAGGGTGACGGGAGCTGTCCTTCTCTGGGAATGTACCAGTGCCAAGCCCTATGCTCAGTGCTTCACTCACTGTCTCCCTGAGTTCCCATCCCCATGTGACGCATTGTTATCTTCTCTTTACAGATGTAAAGACAGAGGAAAATTCCTTGCTAAGGTCATCTCTCTAGTAAATGAGCAAACCCAGGCAGTGTCACCCAGGAGCCAACAACTATATATTGTCTCTTAATTTAGCTCCTGTTCTAATCATCATCCTAAATTATGAGATATTTGAATTAAATAGAAGCAGCAGATGGAGATTTCCTTTATTTTAATGCTGCCGTACAGCTGAGTTTTAAAAATCCCTGAAGAATTCTCTGAGCTTTCAAATCAGGACATCTTATTGCTTGCAAGGTTCCTTATTGCTAATTTTTGAAAAAACCTCACAAGATAGGTACAATTATCCCATTTAACAGATAAAGAAATTGAGGCTCAGATCATTTAAGTCAATACTCCTCAAACTTTAATGTATATGTAAGTCATCTAGGGGGTCTTGTTGGAATCACATTCTGATTCAGCAGGTCTGGGATGGGGCTTGAGATTCTGCAGTTCCAACAAGCTCCCAGGTGCTGTCGACCATACTTTGAGAAGTGTGGAAAGTAACCTGCTGTGGATCACATAGCACATAAGGAAGAGATCCTTAAAGCCTAGTCTCATAAAAAATCTGGTGGCCTCTAAGGTGTGGACAGGAATCTGGATTGAGTCTGGCTCTAACAGCTCTGCCTTTTGCTTATGCCATATCCCCTCTCTGAGCCTCAGTTTCTCTCTATGTACAAATTTGGGGTTGAATTATGTGACTTCTAAGATCTCCAGATACCATGGTAAATATGGGGAGAAGTGCCAGGATGCAGGCTGGAACCTCGGGTAGAAGACGTTTCCAGGCGACAGGAAGATTGAATGTAGATTAGTAGGGAAAACATTTTACCTCTGAGAAACAGAATGATTAATGCTCCCCAGGGTGTTGATTTTCTAAGGAATGTGATTTAGCATCAGAAACCTGGGGAGCTGCAAGGTCAGACTCTTCAGGCTGTCATTTAAGCAGCCAGGAGAGAGCAGCCATTGGATCTCCGTTGATCTGTGTGGCTTTTCTGGGTTTTAGTCCTGTCTGGGAAGGTGGAGATTTCCTTCTCCCCACCGACCTAGGGCAGGGCACTTCATCTTATTTCCAAGAGTCCTAAGGGAGATGGAAGTGTTAGCAGAGGCATATAGTGAGTGCTCATGTTTTAAAAACTCTCTTGCGAAGAGCAAGGTGGTGCTTTTAAGGAACCAATAATGATCCAAACAGAAATTTCCTGTCTGACTTATTCCTCACTAGGGATACCTGGGAAAGTAGGGTTGACTCTCTGGGACTGAAGCCAGAAGGGGAAAGACACTTAATCAGGACAGATGCTGATAGAGAAAGGGTAAATGATGGTTAAACAGCTACTACTCTTGTTTATCTCATTTAATGCACAAGGCTACCCTATGGGGTAGATATTATTAAACCCATTAAGAAACCGAAGCTCAAGGATTAAGATGTTGTCCCAGGTTACTCAGCTTGTGAGATTCCAGTCAGGTCTGATGACTCCAAAGCCCCTGTTCTTTCCATTCTGCTATACTGCCTATCCTATAAAATCAATTCCAAAAGAGGGGTTAAGGGCCACATTGTCATATTTATTTATTTATTTTAGACCCTATAGAGTTGACCTTGGACCTAGAAATAGAAAATATAGTCAAAAGAAATAGAGAAGTAAGGAGCAAAGGTGGGAGTGGGATGTGAGTCCAGGGCTTTAGCTGTGAGTGGGGCGGGGATGCCCAGAACTCTGATCAAAAACTCTTTATGTAAAGGACTTATCACCTTCCAGCTGCTGCTTGCCCAAGAGATACCAGTGAGTTTCTTGGCTCAGGGTGAGCTACTGCTATTTGATTCTGGATGAGACTGCAACTTTCCTTGACCTAATTTACTCCAGTTACCTCTGGCTTCATTTTAGTCCCAGGGTACATACATGGAGCCCTCTTCTTTGGCAGTGGCTTTCCTCTATCTGACTCTTCCTGGTCTCATCTTTCATCTGATCATCAGGATGAAATATAATCCTCTTGGAAAGTATGGGTGCATGCCTTCCTGAGATGTGCACAGGTTAATCACCAGAGACAAGCACTCCATCTCTCCTGGGCAGAGTTGACCTAGTTGGAAAGATTCACTCAACTTGATTTTCCACAGTTCGCTACACCAAGGTCAGGGATAAGTTTTGACATGAGAATGCTCTGATCCAGAGAAAAGAACGCACAAGTGTAAACCTATGCATCATTTAATCCACGAGTATAATTACATCCTTAGCATGTACCCAGTACTGCACCAGGCCCTAGGATGGGTGGGGGAAGGGAGGAAAAAGAACACAAACCAGTAGAAGTCTAGTCCATGCCAAAGAGAATGTTTCTACCTAGCTGATGACTTCAATACCAGAAAAATGGAGAGGATATTTGAGATTGAGATGATCAAGTTTAATGGCTAAGGTGAGCATTCATTCGACAGATCTTTATTAGATGTCTCATATGCTAGGCACTTTGCTAGGCACTGGGTAAACTAAACAGACACAATTGTTCTCCTCAAGGAGTTTAAATCTAGAAGGAGATGTTTGCAAATAAGTAAAAAGTCCATCGCAAAACTTTAGTGGGTGTTTGCTATGACAGGCATTATACTGAGCTTTATATTTTGAACTGAAGGTAAAAATATGAATAAAGATAAAAATCTAATCCTTTAATGAGATCACACACTAATGCTGATGACAACCATATAAATGAATACATTTTACCCCGAATATGAAATGTCATTGATAGAAGTATGAACCAAGTACAATGCGGACTCAGAAAAAGGAGAATGTGAGTCTGTTGTAGGAAGTGTGAGTGTCAAAGGTGGACATGGTCAAGGAAGAAGTAAAATTTGGAATGTGATAATGGAGAAATCAGCATTTTACAGATGGACAAGACATTATTAACAGAGGGAGCAGCACACGAATTGTCATGGAGTGTTTGGCATCTGCAAGTAACTGTCTAGATTTGGAATAACTAAGATTAAGAGCTGGGAAATGGAGCTGGATAGGCAGGGAAGGGCTAGATCATGAAGGGCCTTGTAGGCCATGGTGTAGGAAGCTCAGATTTTGCCTAATAAACAATGAAGAATTACTGCAGCATTTTTCAGACAGGAAATCAGTTTAGTGATTTTGAAATGTAACAGAAGGATGACACTCAAGGCAAGGAGACCTGTTAGGGGACTATATTAATAATTTAGGTAAGAGACAATGGTTTGGCAGTAGGCATGGGAATGAAGAGGAAGGAATGAAGTCTAGAAATATTTGAGAGTTAATATTTTCAGGACTTAAGTATATGGGGCGAGGGAGGAGAAAGGATCTAGAAGATTCTATATTTCTTACATGGGCAGTTGGGTACATGGTACTGTCATTTACTGAGATTTAGAATATGGAAGGTGTGATGGTTAATTCTAAGCATCAACTTGGCTAGGCTATGATATCTAGTCACTTGGTCAAACACCAATCTGGATGTTGCTGTGAAGGTATTTTTTAGGTGTGATCTAAATCAGTAGACTTTGAGTATAGCAGATTATCCTCTGTAATGTGAGTGGTCCACATCCAATCAGCTGAAGGCCTTCCTTAAGAGAACAGCAAGAGGTCACAAAGAAGAGGGAATTCTGCCTCCTCCAGACTCAAGACTGCAACATCAGCTCTTCCTTGGATCTCCAGCTTGCCCTGTAGATGTTGGACTTGCCAGCCCCACAATTGCATTGAGCCAATTCCTTAAAATAAACTTCTCTCTATGTATACATCCTATTGGTTCTGTTTCTCTGGAGAACCCTAATACGGTTTGGTTTTTCTGTTTAAGTTTGTAGTTCAGAAATGTTTTGCTGAATCAAAGGTTCAGGATTTTTAAAATAGAAAGTGAGGGCTTATTTTTATTGTTTATGCCAAGGGATATTGTGGTTCAAATTAATGTTGCTTATTCGTTCCTTTGAATTGTTGGATGCTGTCTCTTTCTAGGCTTTTGTTAGAGAAAGTGGGATATACTTGTGTAATTCTAATGAGTAATAATATATCACACGCTGTTAATTCTAATTATTTTATTTTATTGAAGCCAGAGTTGTTGTCTTGTGGTTTCTTTGGAAGTTATATAATTTGTACCTAAGGAAGTGTTGGAAATGCTTCTGAGAAATGTGCATCACTTGAGATAAGTGTCTAAAAGGTCTTGACACAAGTTCAAGACGACTACTTTACTCCAGTTTCATGTGTGGGAGGAGAAGTGGGTTCTTTATCTGGTCATGGGAGGGAGTAGGATGGATGAGATGTTCCTGCAAAGCTACAAGTAGAGAGATCTGGAACAAGGAGAACTTTGTATGATTTCTTAAAGTTTTACTATTTCTTTATTAAAGAGCAAAGATTTGTAATCAAACAAATCTGGGTCCTCTACCTACTATCTTTGTGACTTTGGGCTGGTAAATGAGTTAGTTGCTCTGAGACTCAGATGCAATGTCTGTAAATTGCATCACTTGGGATTTTTCAAGGATTCATTAAGAAGTTACTTATAAAATGCTCTGTCCAAAGCCTGGTGCAGAGTTGGCACTCATGTAATGGAAGCTATTTTTATTACTCATTAAATTTATTTCTTCCTTCACAGGCCTTTAAATTCCAGATTCCCCAGGGTAGATACACATGCTCTGACTGTCGGACCTTGTGGAATTTTCTCTTGTCCAAAATGGAATTTGTAGATTCTTCACACCTGAATTTTCTCAAGAATGAAGAGAACTGACAGGACGTAGACATGACATCATCATGATTAAGTTATAATTAATCATTAATTGTAGCTGAAGAATAAATGTTATTTCATGAGGAACAAAACTGTACCATCAAGCACATCTCCCTTCATGCCTCCGTCATATAGCCAACTCTACTCATTCTCTAAAACTCAGGTTAATACCATCTTCTAAAAGAGTCTTTTCTATCCTTACCTAGCCCTTCCTTGGATTGCAGCAGCAACCTCAGTATTCTTAAAGGGCATCTCTAGGGAGCAGCAGTCACATTTTATTTTATGTGCCTTGTGGTCCTAGGGTTGTCTGTAGGTGGCCCTGGAGTGTGCTCTATCACACATTACATTACACATTATTACATTGCTTGTAATTATCCCTTCTCTTCTTTGTATCCCTTTCTAACAGGGAGCTCATTTAAGGGCAAGGACCATATTAAGCTTTTCATCCTCCAGTGCATAGCACAATGCCTGGAACATTGTCTAAGGAAAGAATGAATGAATATCCCTTCTCTTCTTTGTATCCCTTTCTAACAGGGAGCTCATTTAAGGGCAAGGACCATATTAAACTTTTCATCCTCCAGTGCATAGCACAATGCCTGGAACATTGTCTAAGGAAAGAATGAATGAATCGATAGATGAATGAAAATTTGCAGTGAGTTACAATCAGGACTTCATGATAAATATTATTTTTCATCATCCACTATTCTTTATCATGTCTGCATTTCCCCCAAGTATTGCTGATGGCACTGCCATCTAACTGTGAAACTTATGACATCTCAGAATTTCACAATTCCATCCTCGGGCTCTGCCCATCACAGTCAGATTCAATAAGGCAACTTCTGTGTGCAAAAGCAGGATGAAGTAGGGGAGCAGTGAGTGGAAAGTGTGATTAGTTTTAAATAAGGCTAACACTTCTGAATATCACACTGGTTTGCATTCTCATTAGCAATTTTCATAAACTGCTTGAAATGCTCATAAGTCAAGATTACAAACTTAGGGACAAATCACATATACCTTGGGTTCCTTTTGAGTGGAAATTATTAATTGCATCCTTTCGCATCAGAGCTCCACATATAACTGCAGAGTTTATTTTTAGCCCACTCCCTACTGCCAGCTCCTATCTGAACCAATTCCACGTTAGTCTAATCAGGAAATATGAAGTTAAATCTAGGGCAAAGGGAAAGGACAACCTAGAAAACTGAGTCAACAGTCCTATGGACATAGTGTCAACATTACAACTTGGAAAGAAGTCATTGTAGGGTTTACAGCAGCATCCTGGTTACAGAGCCAATAACCCCATCTCACACCCCAGCTGCCTCTTCCCAGCCACGAGTGGGACCCTGCCTGAAAAGGCTTTAGCAAGCATTTGTGCTAGTTTACTGCCAATGTACCACCTACTCTATCACCTTTAGACTGTGGGTCCTTGACCCCCAGAGAGAAGCCACCATTCAGAATCTGTGTTTAGGATTCCTTTGCTTTTAGTTACTGATAAAATGTGTGCATTCCTAAACAGTACAGTGTTAAGTTTGGTAGGATTTCAACTTTACTTAACATATATCATGCTGAATGTTTTCTTCTGTGACTTGCCTTTTTTCATGCAACGTGCTTTTGAGATTCATCCATGTTAATGTATATAACTGTAACATTCATTTTTATTGCTAGTGGAATCCCACTATTGAAGTGTACAGGATCTAATGAATATTTCTGGTTAAAATGTAGAAAATATTATTCACACTAAGTGAAATAATAAAGACACCAAATAATCTCATGTTAGTTTATGTCGGGTTTTGCTACTAAATGAATTACAAAGTCACTTTCAATTTCCAGAGACTATGGGCCTACTTGATAATTATTTTTCTAATCTCTCTTGATGGAGACATTTAGTTGGTTTCCTGTTTTTCATTATCACAAATAGAGCTGCAAAACCCATCCACTTGTGGCTGTCTCCCCCTACTGGGATCTTTGAAGGCAGGGTCTGTGTTTTGTGGCTTATTTGTCTCTGTATCTTCATGGCCCAGCATAGGGCCTCAATAAATGTGTTTCGAATGAATTAATAAGTGCTTAGACACTTTGTCCTTTTTCAGAATTATGGAGCTCTATCAAAAGCACAAAAATAAGTCCCAAGGTAGGAGCCCAATTCACAATGCCATTAAAAAAGGGCTGCAATAAATCAAATAAAATCCCTAAGCAACTCCAGGAGTATTTTTGTCTATTGCTTGTGTAGAGCTTCCCTTTGACCACTGAAAATGAACTTGACAATAGGAAGATTAGTAGGAGAAAAAGGCATTCAAATTTATTTAACATTCATAAGCACGGGGGAATCACAGGATAATGATTATCTTATAACCCAATGAGGTCCAGATGCTTTTATACCCTTCTTTACAGGGAAAAGGGAGATGGCAGCAATGTGGCAATTTTGAGGGGTAGTAAATGATTTTTAGAAGGAATGAGTGGGCCCAATGCTCAGGCAATAGTTAATAAATTATTCTTTTTGGTAATGAAATAGGACCAGAGAAGAGACAATAGTTTGGAACAAAGTTCACCTGGCTTTAGGTGTGGTGTTTAATTTTTAGTCTCTTCCTTCCTCTGTGATATGAGTTTTAATCTTCTCTGGTTAATTACATTTCAGGGAGGGGATCGAAGGCAATTGTGTTGCTCTTTGGTGAGTCCAGTTTCTGAGTAGATATAAGAACTTCCTGGGCTCTGGGAGAGAAGATTGAGAGATGAGGGTGGGGCAGGGGTAACGTCAGAGAAGCATTGGGGCTACTTCAGTTCAGCATGTCAAAGTGTTACCAAAACCCCAAAGGTCCATTTGCTCACTGCTCAATAGCCAATAATTGAGAAACAAGTGTTGGTATAAGGAAAGGTAGCCTTTAATCAGGAAGGTGGCAGCCTGAGGAAACGGTGGTCTCCTGTCTCAAAGATCATCTCCACTTTTCTCAGACTTGCCAAAGGGTTTTACAGGGACACTTGGTAGGGGACTGATTCATGGTGACCTAAGCAGAGACGTGCAAGTATAATCATAAAATTGCAAGCAAACATCGAAGAACTTCTCGGGTGGGAGCTGATTCATGGTGACCATCCTCCATGAAGTCAAGTCATGGATTCAGTTCCTGTTAACCTCAAAAGTATCTAGTTAGTAAGCTAGTAAAGAATGGCCACCTGGGTTAATAATTTCTTCTATAAGTATTCTGTGTACAATGTGAGCAAAAGTCATTATGTTCTAGCAATCATGTGAATAAGAATCATTGTATTCTAATGTCCAGCTGCAAGCTATGTGATTCAGGTTATAAGAGTAAGAAAAATAACTTAGAAATTTAACAAAATGGGGGCTGGCCCGGTGGCGCACTGGAGAGTGCACCACTTGGGAGCGCGGCGGCACTCCCGCCGAGGGTTCGGATCCCATGTGGAGACTGGTTCCCGCTCACTGGCTGAGCGCGGTGCGGGTGCAACACTGAGGGTTGCGATCCCGTTGCCGGTCCTCGGTGTGGGCGTGACACCTAGGGTTGCAATCCCATTACCGGTCAGTAAAAAAAGACAAAAAGGAAAAAAAAAAAAAAAAAAAAGAAATTTAAAAAAATGGAGTCACTTCTGTTCAGTCTGTTACAAAGCACCATAATTTAGGATATTGTTTTCTGAGCCTCAATACTCATTAGATAGAATGCCTTCATGTCTCTCTGTTATGATACTATGAAGGTCTTTCAAGGGACATTCTATGACTTTTAAGTATAATATTAGTATAATTTATGCACCTCCAACTCTCTTCTCTTCCTGTCCTGGCTTCAGGGGCCATATGTCAAGTTGAAGAGTCAAATACAGATCAAGGGATGGGGAAGTGGGGAAGCAGCCTTGTGAATTTATTGAACAAAACCCTACGCTCCATCAATCACAATCTCTACCTGTGGTTTGGTGGCTTAAGAACCCTTGATGAACGCATTTCCATTTCCACCCGGGGGCCCAGTAAAGGAGAATGGCCATGAGAGAAAAGACCACATGGTTTCAGCTTAAGGTGGGCATGGCATATCCTTTCTCACCCCTGGACATAGGCTTATTTTTCTCTTCACAGGATTTGTTCTTAGCATTTTTGTTCACAGGTCCAGATTATCCATCAGTCTCTAAAGAGAACATTGCCATCGTTTTAAGGTTTTGTTCGTTTGTTTTCTAATTATACTAAGTAAAAAAAAAAAAAAGGGAAGACGAGAAAAAGAAAGAAAAAAAAAATGTCAGGGTCATACCGAACTGGATGTTTCAAGTCTCTGAGAAGGTTACTTCTCTGTTCGTTGGCCATCATTCATTCAGCAGATGCCCAGCCTTTGCTGGGTGCTGAAGATGTTAAAGGCAAATGAGACAGGTCCCTGTTATGGTTAGTTTTACACGTCAACTTTGCTGGACCACTATGCCAGATATTTGGTCAAACATTATTCTGGATGTTTCTGTGAGAGTGTTTTTTGATGAGATTTACATTTAAATCAGTGGACTTTGAGTAAAGCAGATTGCCTTCTATCGAGTGAGTGGGCATGATCAGTTGAAGGCTTGAATGTAACAAAAGGCCGACTGCAGGAGGGAATCTGTGGCACACAGCCTTGGCATTTGAACTGCATCTCTTTCCTGAGTCTCCAGCTTGCTAGCCTCCTCATCAGATTCTAGACTCGCCAAGCTTCCATAATTGTAAGAGCCACTTCTTTAAAGTAAATCACTACACACACACACATACACACATATACGAGGGTACTTCAAAAAGTTCATGGAAAGATTCATATTATCTTTTAATTCTATTTTTCCCTCGAAGTTCCCTTGTGTGTGTGTGTGTGTGTGTGTGTGCATGCACGTGTGTGCACATACACACACATCCTATTGGTTTTGTTTCTCTGGAGACCCTGACTAATATAGTCCTTGTTTTCAAGCACCTCCATGTCTCATGAAACAGACATGCAAACAAGTGATTCTAATCCAGTGTGAAAATTGCCCTAAAAGTCAACTGCATGTATAAAGGGTGATAAAAACGTAGACCAAGAAGCATTTGCATACCTCTGGGGGTACTATCAGAAGGCTTTCCAGGAGATATTTTCTAGGAATTCAGTGTCTTAGGCAGGGGGATCAACAT